TAGTGGACGTCTCCCCTACAACTGCCTACAACTGCGTAGCCGCAGCCACCAGCTGCTACCATCTTCCCTAGCAACCAAACTAGCGGCCCAAGCGGGAGCGTCACCAGATGCCGCAGTATCCTAGCAACGGAGCCAAAGACCGGTTACTTCTCGGGTTTTCCCTACATGACTCACGGCTGCTGGGTATATAAGCTCTGTCTCTCCATTGAGATTCATTCTGGCCTCTCTTCCTGAACAAGCAACACCTCCTCCTCCGCCGCTGCCTGGCGGTCCTCGCTACCGCCGGCGAGCATGGCGACGCACCAGCTGTCCTTCTCTGAGCTTCCTCACCAACCAGCTCTTATTCTGCTCTCGGTTCCTGAACACGCAACACCTCCTCCCAGCAAGCTCCTCGCTGTCCAGCTTTCATTCAACCAGGAGGCCAGCAACAGGCAACATCTTCTCTAACGAAGCTCCTGCACATCTACCTCCTTCAACACGCTACTCACCGAACGTCTCTACTGAGCAGCTCCTCACCACACGGCACCTCCAGCACCAGACTGTCTATCATATAACTTATATTATACAAGAAAACCACCTTAGAGTTTCCATCCATCCTGAGTGCTAGACAACATAATCCCACGAAACGCCTACAAATGGTGACCCCCGGAGATTCGCACTCACACAGGATGGAGGAGAAACTGATCACGCTCCCAGTCTTCAAGCAGCATAGAAGACTGGCTTATCCACGAAATTCTACAAATGGTGACTCCCGGAGATAAGCACTCACACAGGATGGAGGAGACACCAGCTCCTTTTCCTGCCCCAAGCACCACATCCTACCGGCCCCAGCACACCCGTCCTGTCTCAGACGCCGACCCCGGCCCAGCAGTAACCCCTGCCGCCCCTGACGCGGCCTCTGTTCCTGAGTGCGGACCCACACACACCCCTCTTTTCTCCCTCAGGTACTCCCTGCTAATGTCCTGCACCCTGCTGCTGTCGTGGACCCAGTTGCTGTCACGAGCCCTTATCCGCTTCTGCTGACACAGCCCCTGCTCCTGACCCAGGTCCACACACACCCCAGCAGGTACATCTGACAACCCTGTACCTGTCGTGAGGGAAGCACAACATTCATCGCCTCCACACACCCTCTTTTCTCCCTCAGGTACGCCCTGCTAATGTCCTGCACCCTGCTGCTGTCGTGGACCCAGCTGCTGTCACGAGCCCTAATCCGCTTCTGCTGACGCAGCCCCTGCTCCTGACCCAGGCCCACACACACCCCAGCAGGTGCATCTGACGACCCTGTACCTGTCGTGAGGGAAGCACAACATTCATCACCTCCACACACCCTTTTTCTCCCTTCTCCCACAGATAGTGTGTATCTAGACAGTTGTATTCAGCGATCGGCTCATTCACGCCATCGCCGTTGTCTCACATGAGGCCCATCGCCGTTGTCTCACATGAGGCATGCACTGCCCGGTCTGCCTCACATGTGCTAAGCAACTCTACAAACAACAAGTCTCCTACACCGCCTGGAGGGAAGGGGGAGTATTGTAGTGGACGTCTCCCCTACAACTGCCTACAACTGCGTAGCCGCAGCCACCAGCTGCTACCATCTTCCCTAGCAACCAAACTAGCGGCCCAAGCGGGAGCGTCACCAGATGCCGCAGTATCCTAGCAACGGAGCCAAAGACCGGTTACTTCTCGGGTTTTCCCTACATGACTCACGGCTGACTCACGGCTGCTGGGTATATAAGCTGTCTCTCCATTGAGATTCATTCTGGCCTCTCTTCCTGAACAAGCAACACCTCCTCCTCCGCCACTGCCTGGCGGTCCTCGCTACGGCTGGCGAGCATGGCGACCCACCAGCTGTCCTTCTCTGAGCTTCCTCACCAACCAGCTCTTATTCTGCTCTCGGTTCCTGAACACGCAACACCACCTCCCAGCAAGCTCCTCGCTGTCCAGCTTTCATTCAACCAGGAGGCCAGCAACAGGCAACATCTTCTCTAACGAAGCTCCTGCACATCTACCTCCTTCAACACGCTACTCACCGAACGTCTCTACTGAGCAGCTCCTCACCACACGGCACCTCCAGCACCAGACTGTCTATCGTATAACTTATATTATACAAGAAAACCACCTTAGAGTTTCCATCCATCCTGAGTGCTAGACAACATTATTATCAACGAAACCCTACACCCTTCTTCCCTGCCATATGTAATTCTGTAAGTTTTGTTTATTTAGGATTTGTAGCAGCCATGCTCTCTTTTGAAAGGGAGATATAGTGTTATATATATGTATGTTTATATGCTGCCTTTATTGAATATATATATTATATATTATGTTACTTCTTACCAAAGTCAGAAAGTGTTTAGGTTTGTGTAAACTCGAATTGTGTTAGGCACGTTGTAACCAAGAACAGAGAATAAACGCCCAGCCAGACCGACCATGTGCTTGTCATTCTCCCATTAAATAACAAGATACTACACTTACCTACTAAGGATGAAGCTTAATGTTACAGAACACACACATACACACACACACAGAGTGTAACTTTGTGTGACGCGTTGTCTGACTTGGTGTGGCTTTGAGCGAACCATACACTTGATATTACAATTTATGTATCCATCCTGTCCATGATTTACAACAATAACTGTAGGTAAAAAGTTATAATATTATACTAATAACACTGTCATGTATTGATACTATGACTAGTTCATATCATAACTTGTGTGTTCGTGCGTATGTTGCCTGGTGAGAGTTACCGTGGGCCTCCATGTGCCCAGGTGGGATTGTCAAAGTATTACACTATAAGTGTGTCAAATGAGGAGTGACTGATCCACATGAAATTTAAGGTTTTTGCAATATGTAATTAAATTAAACACGATTTTTCATATAGTTATGCGAATGATGGGAAGTATTGTGGTTTGGCGCACACACACACAAGCGCTGTAAACGCTGTGTGGAGGCACTGGGTGGTTTTGAAGTGTTATTTCCATTCATACTTTCGTAACTACAACCTATGGTATTTTTTCTTCATGTTCATATATAATGAAGATAATGCAGAGTATAAAATGCCATATACAATATTTATACATTATGTCATCTATACAGCAGTACTATGACTGTGTGTTCGTGCGTGTGTTGCCTCGTGATAGTTAGAGTGGGCCCCCGTCCAGAAAGGACACTGTACTAACCTCCAGCACCGACCCAGGTGGGCTAGAGATTATGGTTTCCGAGTGTAATATATATATATATATATATATATTGTATATATATATATACTGTATATATACACATACATACATATATATATATATATATATATATATATATATATATATATATATATATATATATATATATATATATATATATATATATATATATATATATATATATGTATATATATACTGTATATATACACATACATATATATATACTGTATATATACACATACATACATATACATATATATATATATATATATATATATATTTCATTTAGTCCATGTAGCATGCTGACTTTCAACATATAATCAACGACCTCACCAGCCAGGACTCGAACCCTCGACCTATTGCGTGTGACCAGGGAACGCTATATGGACTAAATGAAAAAAAAAAAAAATTATATATATATATATATATATATATATATATATATATATATATATATATATATATATATATATATATATATATATATATATACATACACTACACTAATTACATTAGACAGGTTTTTATTGAGGTGGTTCCACTTTTGGGGGTGGGTAACCAACCAACTTCAAATTCCATCTTCGGAGCACTTGAAGGATGCATGCTCATCTCCAGTCAGCAGCACACACCGTGGCGTTTATATACAGAAGTTATCAGCTGATACAGTTTTGGGACTTTAGACTGATCACAGAAAAGGGATCAGCATTTTCCCTGTCAGGAGATTGTGGAGATTTCAAGTATGACAGTCGTGTATACCTCAGGAATAGGGGTGCGGTGGCAGATTGGATAAAGCATTCTCCACAAGTTCAAAGTGTCGTTGATTCGTACTTGGCGAACCCCCAGTTTACCACTTTACTGTTGGGGAAAAGGAGGCGATCGAGTGCAGTGCCAGCTACACTACCTCCTTGTGTAGATTCTTTTTATCCATAATTCATCTTGCAAATATTGAGATTCCTCACTTCATTTTGTAACTGTAATAAGCACTCGACTTCAACTTGACAAATAGCGTAAACAGTGCAGACACAGATGGCCTCAAGTTATATACAATATTCAATGAGTTACAGGGTACTTTATTTGGGCTGTTCTAGTGTAATTTACAGTTGTTTTGATTAATACACTAATTTGATCGAGTCTAGAGCATTATCTATTGTCTCTGAGATAACGACAATGTTAGAGGTTAGCTTTATCACTCCACTATACGGAGAGTTATTGTTACCACCGCATTTATGACCAGATATGTTTTGTTGTTTGTCGTTTTCTGGAAAAGATTGTTGTCGTAGTTGTTGTGTGAGCCACTAGTGGGAGCTGCCACCACTTAATATTAATGTGTAAGAATAGTTTAATAAGGCGGTGAGAAAAGGGCGTCACTAAAGCTATATATATTGCAGGAAAAAAGGACCTGGACTTCAAAACAAATACCTGAAAACAATAACAAATGAAATACAGTAATGTATACACATTTAACACTGGCCTGAAAATAGGTTGGAAACAATTTCTTGCGAATTCATGAAAATATTTGGTTTAATTTCCTCATGGTTAGTCAAAACTGTTTATCCTTTCTCTAAATGTTATTTAATCTTTTGTTACAAAAATAAAACTGTGAAGTACTCCAATTTTGCAATAAAATCTTTCATAACTGCCAACATTTAAAAAACAAAACTGACGATATCAGTGATCTGCACATACACACAAATACTTTGTCATTAATTATCATTCGTCAATAATCTGTCACAACTGTCAATTACAATCAGTCATCAGGATGTAGCTTAGCAATGTTAATAACCAACGATAAAAACAAGTGAAGTAACACAAGCGTTTATTCAAATGGTGTCGTAAGGTTGTGGAGGTGGTGATTTTAGTGGAGATTTGGCTGTGCGGGAAGTGCAGTGTGCTGCAAAGTTGAGGACGGCTGCAGCGGCCGGAGCTGTTGCACACAACATCAACACAGGAGCGTAAGACCCCGTCTGGTCCACAATAACGCCTGCTATAGGAGGCCCCAATAGGGCTCCCGCTCCTGTCACGAAGAGGAGGTAGCCAAGTACACGGCCAACACCCACGCCAGAGCTGAGCTGTGAGGGCATGAGGGCGTACAACACACTCTGCAGCCCACAAGCGACGCCCATACCCACCATGGATGCCACCAACTGCCCGGGGGTTGAGGAGATCGCCGCACAACCAATGGTAAAGGCTAATAAGATCTGTATCCCACTAAACAAAATAAGGGGCGGCAGCCCACGACCCATGAGCGCCCCGGCCAGTACGCGGCCCAACAGGTCGCCAGCACCACTACCGGCCAAGGCGCCTGAGAAAGCCACTCCTAGCCCCGACCACACTGTCCAGTCAAGGAAGACGGCGAACATCGTGGTGGTCGCCATGAAGCTTAGAAAACACGACGCCTCCAGCAGCCAGAATGTGGGAGAGCACAGTAGCCGTCGTGCCGTGCCACTTTCATCTGCTCCACCTTGTTGATACTTGGGCGTGGTGTGTGTATTGCCGCGCCTCAAGGAAGATACCCAGCCTCGTAGTCGTGGGTTATGTTGTTTGTCGTGGTCATAGTGTGCCAGTGACCATACACTGCCAGCTCCCACCAGTGAGGGCATAGCCAGCGTCTCCTTCAATGGGTCATTCTTCAAACTGGTCTCAGATCTACTGATGTCGCTGCTGTGGAAACTCTCCTCACTAGTTTCAGTATGAGTATTATCATAGCCATCCTCAGGCTTACCTACGTCTTCCACAACAATCATCAGTCTTTGGTCTTCTCGGTAAAGTCCCTTTGCCAACGACGGTCGCCTCAACTTGTATATAGTAGCACCAAAGACGCTGAAATTAAACGACATGCCGGCACAGATGAGCATTGCCCCACGCCAGCCATATTCCTGCACGAGAGTCTCCATAAGAGGGCCCAGCACGAACACCCCAAAGCCGGAGCCGGACATAGCCACACCCACGGCCAAGGCGTGGCCACGCTGCCAGAACCTGGCCAGACCCACAATCCACCCAGAGAAGTTGAGGCTCGTCCCAACAGCTGTAAAACAAACCACTTGGTTATACATTTAATAATGACATCACATATCCTCACTATCAGTATTTAGATGATTACAAATTTAATTACTGTACTTTTATAATCTCTCCTTGTATGTATGAATCAAATTACCTTTGTAATTATTATTATTATTATTACTGTTATTATTACTATTACTGTTGTTACTATCATTATGATTACTATCATTATTATTATTATAAATATCACTAGTATTAGTGTATTTTTATCATTATTGAATGGGGCAATTAGAAAGTGGGTCAAAAACAAAAGGTCAGTTCAGAACGTTGACTTAGAAATCTGTATAAAAAAACATGTTGTAACAACGAAACTCGCATGCACATTCATTGAACATAATTACAATATAACACTTTTAACGCCGACGTCTACCACAGCAAGGGTTTACCGTGCACAAATTATTATTATTATTATTATTATTATCATCAAGCTAAGCTCTCTGTACACTTCAAGATGCCACCCGTTCTTAACCTACACCACCTGACCTTTACATATAGACTATGTTTGCAGTGTTGTTGGAAGGCAAGGGATGCGGCCTCCTGCCACAAGTGGCAACTAAACCCATGCAAGGACCAAGACAAGTTTTTAGCTCGCTACCCTGAGGTGTATAGAATGCTTAACAGCGACTATTTATTTGCAACAGTTAAATGACTTCACTCATGGTCGTCTGGCCTCGTTGAAATCAAGTATAGTTAAGATTAGAGAGAGTTGCCAGTTTACTGACCATTAATGAAGCCGTGTGTAACGAAGACAACATCCAGACTTGGGGCAAAGGCGGTCATGATGTTGCCAAGGCCAGCGAAGACGCCCCCAAGCATGACGGCGGTGCGGGGACCCCAGCGTGAGATGACCCACCCCCCCAGGGGCCCACAGAACATGTGCACCGCCGAGTTGGTAGAATATACCCACCCCGTCTTGGCTCGCGTCTCCCCGAAGCTCTGCAGCAGTTCCACGAAAAATACACTGAAGGAGTAGTACATCCCTGGTGGGGAAGGAGCACCATACTGTAGCTGACCAGTCCACACATCACCACACACATTTATTGTACTTGGAAGTTGTTTGCCAATAAATATGTACATATAGAGACTATCCTCAAACATTATTATAATTATCATTTTGAACTTCCGTGTCATCCTGTTCTCATGTTTAGAGATTAACCTTCTGCCCAGTTCTCATAACATGAAACTATTCAGCAGTATTGATTTTCAACTAAAAGCTACTCTTCTACTGCTTCCTGTAACATGAAAATCCTCAGCTACTGTCATCTTGTAAGTTTTATAAGTGTTTATTTCAATTAGCGTAGTGCATTATACTGGTGCCACTATAACATAGTATTACAGTACTTACTAAACAGAAGTATTCGCGCTTCGAGAACCTCAGGGATCACATGTTATGGATTTTTTTTCACTATTCTTACATTTTAAAAGTTCTGTGTTTTCGTTGAGCTTCAGTGTTGTTTGTAAGTTAATATTTAGTATAAAATTGGACAGTAAATGGTATTAACAGGTTGGCGAATAAACTAAATGAATTCACCAGCGACACTACCAAGCATGGCAGGTTTATTTTGGGTGGTGTACTGTACCGCGGTTCCTTCAGTACTAACACTGGACAATAAAGGGCATAACAAAGTGACCACCCGAACGGCTAGTAAGCTGATAAGTGGTGGAAATTATATAAAAAAAAATACTGACATGACTAAAATATTTCATTTACCCTCAACGATAAAGGACACTAAGATAATAAAGTGTTTTAATAGCATAAAAAAAACATATTGTTTAGTAACATTAATAAAGATGTTTGGTGAAGAGATATAACCGTACATTATTATGAGCACTGTATCGACGGAAAAAAGTCACTCAATTTACCGGAGGAGACGAAGAACTGGAAGAAGGCGGCTACCACCACCACCCACGCCCATCCACCGTCCACATCTGGGCTGCTGGAGGCGCGGGAGTCGCTCTTACACTCACACGTGGAGCCGTTACTTGAACATACACATCCCTCCAAACAGTCCGGCACGCCCCTCTCTGACGAGATGAATTTACATAAGAAAATAAGAAAGAACATAAGAAAATAGGGGTCTGCAATAGGCCGGTTGGCCTGTGCATGGCAGCTCCTGTCGAGTTACAACCACTCTCTATCGTCCATGAATCTATTTAGCCTCCTTTTAAAACTTTCCAGCGTCCCACCACTTACTACAAAATTGCTAAGCTTGTTCCACTCGTCTACCACGCTATTTGTGAACCAGTTTCTACCTATTTCCCTCCTAAATCTAAACTTAACCAACTTATATCCGTTGCTACGAGTCCTATCCTGCTCGGATATTATAAGAACTTTATCTATATCGCCTTTATTGATTCCTTTCACCAACTTAAATACTTATATCATATCTTCCCGCACTCTTCGTCTTATAAGAGGTCACACACACACACACACACTACATCCTTGACCACTGGAGGGTCAAGACCTATCAGGCGCCCACTTCTGCAAAGTTGCCCCGGCCAATGTTCTAGCCCATTCCTCAGGTCCCTCTCCTCGACCCATCCTCACATAAGAACATAAGGAGTCTGCAATAGACCCCTCGTAAATTTATTTACAAAATCATTAGACAACACCGGAGTTGTGCCAGACTTGTGGAACAGGCAAATGTAGTACCCATATTCAAAAAGGGAGACAGAGCATCAGCATCAAATTACCGGCCGATCAGTTTGACGTCAGTAGTGGGGAAATTTCTTGAATCAATTATAGCAGATAGCATCCGATCGCATCTAGAGAATAGCAAATTAATCTACGACTCTCAACATGGGTTTACAAAGGGAAAATGTTGTCTAACAAATCTGCTGACGTTTTTTAGGAAAGTCTTCGAGGTAGTAGATAATGACGAAAATTACGATATTATTTACTTAGACTTTAGCAAAGCATTTGACAGAGTACCGCATCAGAGACTTCTGAGAAAAATTAAGGCTCATGGTATCAAGGGGAAAGCTTTAAATTGGATAAAATCATGGCTCACCGATAGAACGCAGAGGGTCAGCGTAGATGGTGTTAAATCTGGGTGGGGCCGTGTAACCAGTGGGGTTCCCCAGGGGTCAGTACTAGGCCCCACTCTTGTTCATAATCTACATGAACGATCTAGATACCGGTATCAGCAGTGACATAAGCAAGTTTGCGGATGACACCAAAATAGGGTGGCAGATTAATTCAGGGCAGGATGCAAATGCATTACAGGAGGATCTAAATAAACTGCAGAGGTGGTCTGAAAAATGGCAAATGAAATTCAACACCAGAAAGTGCAGCGTACTTAATATTGGAAGAACAAATACTGACAATGTATACAGCCTTAACAACATCAACCTAGAGAAGTTGACTTGTGAAAGAGATCTAGGGGTACTTGTAAGCCCGGACCTACGGCCTAGAAAACAGTGAGTTAATGTTCGAAATAATGCAAACAGAGTATTGGGTTTTATATCTAGAAGTGTAAGTCATAAGAGTGCAGAGGTCTTATTGCAACTATATCTTGAGCTAGTCAGGCCGCAACTCGATTATGCGGTTCAGTTCTGGTGCCCTTATAGAATGGATATCAATTCACTAGAGTCGGTGCAGCGAAGAATGACGAAAATGATTCCGGGACTTAGAAACCTTCCATATCAAGATAGGTTAAAGAAACTTAACTTGCATTCCCTAGAAAGACAAAGAGTGCGGGGAGATATGATAGAAGTATTTAAATGGGTGAAAGGAATCAATAAAGGGGATATAGATAAAGTTCTTATAATATCCGAGCAGGATAGGACTCGGAGCAACGGATTTAAGTTGGATAATTTTAGGTTTAGGAGGGAGATGGGAAGAAACTGGTTCACAAATAGGGTGGTGGACGAGTGGAACAAGCTTAGCAACTTTGTAGTAAGTGCTGGAACTCTGGAAAGCTTCAAAAGGAGGCTAGAGAGATTCATGGATGATAGAGAGTGGTAGTAACTCTCGACAGGAGCTGCCATGCACAGGCCAACCGGCCTATTGCAGACTCCTTATTTTCTTATGTTCTTATGTTATGTCATAACACAACACTACTTAGCCGAGAGTGAGGTACTGTGACCCTATACCACACCACCCGGTGTCTCCGTGACCACGTGAGTTCCTTCATGTCAACACCTGTGGACGAGTTACTGCACCACGTGGCCTACGTGATCTCACACAGGAGGGCAAGAAACCAGCCCCTGCCATCAACTGTAAACTATAATTTTTATGTTCAATTCATATTCCTTCTCTTTTTAGTAATGAAAATATTTGTCAAACGACCCACCCACCCCATGTCTTTGAATGTAACGAGTCATTTGTGCCCAATGTATATTTTCAGCATTCGGGCTGCTGAACTTTTTTCAATAAACCGTTAATTATTATTATTATTTATTATTACACACTTATATTTACATGTACAGTATACAAAATCAGAGGTGAAAAGGTCTTTACCAGCATTCTGAGATTCATTGGCTTGGAGTTTTGTAGATTCTGGAGAATAAACTTGCGTATGAGTGAGTGTGGAGTTGTGTAAATGAGTGGGCGTGGAACTGTGTAAATGTGAAGCCGGGGAGGTATGTGTGAGGGTGGGTGGGGAGGTATGTGTGATGATAGGCAACGATGTATATGACATGTTGGAGGTGTAAGTGTGTGTGTGGGAGAGGTAGGGCGGGGTGGTGTAGCTGAGGTTGGCATCTAGGTCATCATCCAGTTGCACGTCATTAACAGCGTCTAGTGGTGCGGCCTCCAGTAACGTGGTCTGAGGAGCCATTGTGAAGCACCTGAGAAGAAATCCAAATAATAAAATTAACACAAAATTAAACGATATTTCAATCACAATAAAACAAAAGTTAAACAAGTGGCGGTAATTTCACTGTATACCGCCCCTCATGTCATGCTATGGACAAAATACTGTATGCACCGTACAATATGACTCAAGAATTAAAAAAAAATACAGTTTTTGACAAACTTAGTCACTGTCTCAAAATTTCAGCTTCCTTGCTCAACAAGTGTCTGAGATACCGTTCGGACAGACAAGGGAACAACCGGTGAGTACCTGTCCCTGGAGACGGAGTGAGGGTTGAGGTAAGTTTCCGTATTCATCTTGACTTACTGAAGACGTCTACTTTGCAATACACAAATGAATCTTATCAGAGAAGATAAGAATAATTCATTATAATAAATTCTTGTTTCCTCACACAGCCAAACTGTGGAATGCTTTGCCTTCTTCTACGTTTCCATACTCTTATAATGTCTCACTTCATAAAGCTGGTTTTTCGGCATCTTCGTGGTGTAATGGTTGTTTATCAGACCACAGCTTACAGCCCAGAGAAATACAACACATAGAACAGTAAGTAGATGCCCACGTGGTAACCCACATAGGTTGACACCCTACAGTTTGGGTAATGGTTATGTGACGTTTGTGTGATTTGGAAGGATTATAAACTCACATATATATACATATATATATATACATATACATATACATATATATATATATATATATATATATACATATACATATACATATACATATACATATACATATACATATACATATATATATATATATATATATATATATAGTAGAATAGTAAAAACCCAAGTCCTCCAGTTTAGTATGACATTATTTTCTTAAGCCAACATCTCGGTTGTGCCATTCTTAACAAAACCAGTTTTAAGTCTTCTAGAAAAATATCTTTTAAAATATCAACATTAATATTACAAAATAAAAATGTCAGCAAAACTTTTGTTTATCATCAGCTGCGTGTTGGTCGTCGGGTTTTGGTTGGGTTACCAGGTTAAGGTGACCATCATTAACATGAAGGAGGCGAACGCCGACTTGGAGAAGCGCTTCTCTCCGGCGTAGAGAGATTACAAGTGATCGCCGGCCCTTCGAGCCTGGTGAAAGTTGAACGCTCGTGCTTGGCTAGCGTACAGCGAATGAGGGTGCGCCAAGTCTGTAGACTTGGCATGGTTAATTAGGGTGCGCCAAGTCCATAGACTTGCATCGTTTTCCATCGTAAATAAAATGGTTAATTAATGCCTTCCTAAAGAAACCATCGACATGGGACCAGGTATGTTCCACTCTACGAATTTTTTGAGATTTTTCCACCAAGTTTGATGAAAAACGATTGTGCCGTTTCGGCTGCCCAGAACAGACAGACAGACAGAGACACACGGCTATTCCTATAGTATATTAGATTACAGAGCAAGAACGCTGGTGGTCGCTGGTGCCCAACTTTACTAAACATATCTTTCAAAATTACGCGTGAATGAGGTGTGACCACTGCAAAATATTTTACTCTTTTCTTATTAATAATATTCATAATAATAATACCAACAATAATAATAACAATAGGATCAGCTTTTATCACTCGTTATTACCTGCTCTCTCATAAGAATAATAACATTGATCATAATGACCATTTTTCGCAGCCTTCTGGTCGCTAGCCTAACTACCATACATAACTACCGTACCTAACTACCTATTTAGAAGTCATTGGCTGACTTCTCATGCTTGATCTCCTCATTTTCATTACTTCTTTTTGCTACTTTCCTCTGTGTGTGCATGAAGCCAATGCATGATGGACAGGCTACTAAGGCGAAACCCAACAAGCTAGGTTACTTGCTGTCTATTCCAACTGTCCCTCTCCCAAGTCTTTGCAACACTTGTACCAATGGATCAGGAAAAGAGGGAGCCCGGACCTACGGTCTATAATAAGGGCACCAGAACTGAACCGCATAATGGAGGTGCGGCCTGACTAGCACAAGATATAGTTGCAATAAGACCCCTGCACTCTTATTACTTACACTTCTAGATATAAAACCTAATACTCTGTTTGCCTTATTTCGAACATTAACGGACTGTTTTCTAGGCTGTAGGTCCGGGCTTACAAGTATCCCTAAGTCTCTTTCACAATTCGACTTCTCTAGGTTGATGTTAAGGCTGTATACATTGACAGTATTTGTTCTTCCAATATTAAGTACGCTGCACTTGCTGGTGTTGAATTTCATTTGCCACGTGGGCATCTACTTACTGTTATATGTGTTGTAATTTTCTGGGCTGTAAGCTGTGGTCTGATAAACAATCATTACAGTGGTGTAGATTAATCTTTTTTTTTTCTTAATTTCTTTTTACTCTTATTTTTTCGCCCCCTAGGACCCGTTGTGGATCATTGACCTGTGCCCGGGTGGGCCAACCCCCGTAAAAAAACAGAAAAAAAGAATGTTAAATATGCTCTTGGCGCCACATCGTCAACTGACTCAGATCTAGCGGCCAGCCTTACCCCATTACGCAATAAATCGCAATTGATTCTTGTGAAAAAATATTGCATAAAATAAAATTGACAATACGTCATAACGATAGACTGATACCGATGTGACTTACTTATAAATTTGAAATAAGACAGAGTTCCTTGTCTGGTGGTGCTGAGAACCTCCTGTGGGCGATAAGTACAGTAATGTTTGTGCTGTACACATACTGCCACCAAACATTCTAAATTTGCCAAAATAGTTATCATTATAAATGAAAAGTGAAAAAGAGGAGAGCAAAGATAATATTATTAATGTTTCAGAAAAAAATACCGCTATACCTTACTTAATTATAAATTATCGCTACCATACAGATAGGAAGTGAGTACAGGAGTACAACATAAAGGAGATAAAATCATATGCTCCCCTAGTGTCCTCACCTCAGAGTAACTGTAATCAGCTGGAGGTCGCAGTTGGGTAACCCGCAAGTATCTACTGCCCGCTGGACACTGCTCTTCTCACCTGAGCCATAAAGGTTCTTATATAGACTCAATGGATAGGTTCATCTTCCTATGTTGTGTTGCTCTTAACCATCTCACGGTGCACGATTTCAGAAACAAACGAAACACATACAACTTTACCTAAACAAGGTAAATCCCCCACACAAGTATCATATTATCGACCAATCTCTCTTCTAGAAACACACAAGGAAAAGTCCTAGAAAAACTCATGATCCACCGACTGAGAACACACCTCGAACTTGAAGAGAAATAAAATCCCAGGCAGCACGGATTTAGAAAACAGAGGAGCCCATACAGCCATAGTCCTAACTTACGAAAACATAGCCAACGCAATGTACAATAGAGATCAATGCATTCGACAAGGTCTGACACTGAGGGCTCAAATACAAAATAACCAACCAAGAGCTCCCCAACAACTTCACTTCTTTTTGCAACTTCCTTGATAATAGACAAAAATCATCATTGGCTACCACATACCCGAAGCATCAAGCTATACAGCAGAGTACCACAGGGAAGTAACCTCTCGCCAACACTACACGATATACACGTCTGGCATACCACCTCCTACCCACGGAGAATACAACCTATGCCGATGACGTCACCCAAATCATCTGACATCCAGGCAAGGCCAAACAGATGATGACACGAAAAACAGCCCACGCCATCAATCAAAAAAAAAACAAATCCAAACTAATACACAGAAACTAAAAATTATTCACATTCCCAGCACTAATCGCAGTCAACAACGATCATATACAATACTCCAATGAAGGCAAAATACTGGGGCTAACAAATAATAAGAACAGGCATAGCAAAACACATAACACTTGCCCAATCGCAACTCACAAAACAACGAAGATTCAGCAAAATGGACACCAAAATTCAACTACACCTATTCAGAGCACTTGTCCGCCCCCACCTGAAGTACCCACCAATACCACTCAGCACGATCAGCAAAACCAGCCAACTTAAACTTCAATCAGTACAAAACAAAGCTATCCGTAAAGCATCAGAGCAACTCCCCCCATACACCACCAAAAGACAATAACTTCATGAACTATACAACATCGAACCACTGAACACGTACACACAACTAAGCTCAGAGAGTTCGGAGCAAACTTGAAGCATTGGAGGACCCAATCTTCTCCTAGTTAAAAGAAGTCACCAGAAAACACAGCTGGTGGCCCAAGAGCCTCCTTGCTAACATAGAAGAACCAGACTCACTTTATACAAATATGTGAACAAATAACACCACCATTTAACAAACATAAATTAACACACATTTCACTAATGAATGTCTAACTAGCTTAGCTCCCTCTCCTTGCCTCCCCTGAGCGAGCGGGCGCGTGCTGTGTATGGCCGGCCACCACCCCAACCAATCACCTGGACTCAGCTAGGTGGACAGCCCACCTGCTATTACTTCCTACTACTTTACTTCCCGTTTCTATTCTTTCCGTCTCTCTTTCCTCTCCTCTCTCATGGCAAAGTTATTTGCTACTTTACGTCATCGTCATCATAAAAACTAACCTTTAGATGAGTACTAATTATCTCTTTTATATATGAGCAGGTACCACAGACAGGTTCTATAATTGGTGAGCATTATTCATGGCGAGGCAGCACCCACAAATACTGCAAACATCACATTTTGTCAGCGTCCAGGTTTGTTGTTGCTACGGCTGCTGCAAGAGTGAATTAAAACCACCGCCCTTGACTTCTCTCCACCGTCTTGCAAAATGGCAACTTTTATTATTGCTCAATGTTGACACGTATGGTAGCCAGGGTGTCATAGAATAATAGAGAAAAGTAGGAGTCAGCAAGGTGGTGAGAGTAGAGTGACAGGAGGAGAAATGTGTGGAGAGCTGGTGAGTTACCTGAGTGTGACATGGAGCGGCGCGGAGTGGCAGAATGGTGGTGGTACAGGAGACCACCCCAGGACGGGCTACTTAGGACCTATTGGTCGCAAGCCTTCACCGACGGATGTGTGGTATTAAGTGAACAGTCTTGTG